CAGCCGCCAGGTTTCAATAGTACCTGAGATACACTTTAATGTAGAAAGCAAATAGTGGTTTGTAGGAAGTCCTTAGCAACAGAAAAGCAGCTTGTTTTGTTTAAAATATATTTGCATACCTTCTGTATATTGGGTGATACTTGACTGCACATTTTCATTCCTAGAACCAGGAGGCCAATGTATAGTCCAGCCTGCCTCAAACTTTGTTTTAACCTCATGTCCACTTTTGCTAAATATAGGGCATTTCTCCCCATTATCCCTGTTCCTCCTGTTAGTGATGTTACATACAGAAGGCTTTGCCTATAGAAAGGAGATATTTGTTCTGCAGAGTTATATGTAAAACCTTTCAAATCGTATTATCCCAGTGAATTTTTTAAGTTGTAGAATGAATAAGAAGAAATCCTATTTCCAGCCGAGTGCAGTGGCTCACGCCTGTAATCCCAGCACTTTGGGAGGCCTCTAGACCTCATCTTCCTTGGAACAGTGGCCCAGAGATGGGAGGATCACTGGAGACCAGGAGTTCAAGACCAGCCTAGGCAACAAAGCAAGATCTTGTCTCTAGCCCTCTTCCCCCTCAAAAAGCATTATTTCCAACCCTTGGAAGTAAAAGGTACATTCGTAAAGCTTTCTGTTTGAATGTGAAGTTGTTTGTGGCCAGCAGGACTTCTCTGCCTGGTCTCAGCGAGTGGCCCCCCTCCTGGGGTTCTTCTTGGACTCCGCGTAGCCCCCAGCCCTGGTCTCGTCACATCCAAACAATAACCAAGTCCTGTTGAACCAAGTCCTATTGACTCTACTTTTTCTTTTCTCTCTGTCCTGTTTTGTGTTTTTGTTTTTGTTTTTTTAGTTGGAGTCTCACTCTGTCGCCCAGACTGGAGTGCAGTGGCCGCTCCCGGCCACCGCAGCCTCGACCTGCTGGGCTCTGGCGATCCTTCCGCCTCGGACTTCCGAGTAGCTGGAACTACAGGCATGCGCTAGCACGCCCGGCTAATTTTTGATTTATTGTAGAGATGAGGTCTCGCCAAGTTGCCCAGGTGGGTCTTGAACCTGCAGGCTCAGGCAATCCACTCACCTCAGCCTCCCAAAGCGCCTGATTACAGGCTGAGCCACCGAGCCTGGCTCTGTTTTGTTTTTAATGTCCACCCTAATGGTGCTCAGGGTCTGCCAGCCTTTTTGTCTGTAGGTCACGTGACACATGTTCTTCTAGGACTTGTTCTCTAAAGGGACTGACTTGTACTCTGAAGGTATCTGTGGGAATGGCCCCCGCAGGAGACCCATAGTTTTTCCATGTTTGTCTACCTATTCTTTGGTTTGCTATGTGGCCCTGAAGAGGTAATAAGATAAGGTAATTATTATATTAGATATTCTCTGTATTAGTTTGCCATTGTTTCATGACAATCTACCCCCAAACTCAGTGACTTAGGCAACAATGTATTATTTACAATATGTGGTCTCATCTCAGCTGGACCTGTCTGGGGGCTCTGCTGGGCTTCCCCAGCGTATGCAGGTCAGCCGGGAGCCGGTTCACTCGGGCATGCCTAGCTGGACCAGCTCTGCCCAGCTCACGTCCTCCTTGAACAGTGGCCCGGCCCCAGCCAGCTCTCTGGGTGATGTTGACTCTACTTCCTGTTCCGTTGCCATTCTGGTGAGGTCACCATCACTGCTTGCCTGTATAGCAGTACCCTGTCTCCCACTCCCCACAAAAGCTGGTCTTCCCTGCATCCTCCCAATTTATCCCCTCAACAGCAATGTAACCTTTTGAAAATACAAACCTCATCCTGCTTAAAAATGCCTAAGTTCCTCAGCATCCTCAGGCTGAGGCTCCCAGGGTCTTCCAAAAGGTGGAAGGATTCCACATCCCTGCCTGTGGGCCAGCCTGGACTCCTTTAAGTTCTCTGCACTGCACTTCCTCCTGCCCATCCCCTCCCCATCCAGGACTTTGCAAACGCTGTTCCTCTTTGCCTCCACCCACCTAGGGTTCCTCATCATTTACCCTCAAGCTGAAGTACCCCTTCTTCAAGGAGCCCTTCCCTGACCCTGACCATCAGCTCCTACAGCCCCTGCATTTTCCCCTCTGTCACACTGGCCAGACCTTTCTTTTTCTTTTTTAGAAAGCAGGATTTGGCCGGGCTCGGTGGCTCAGCCTATAATCCCAGCACTTTAGGAGGCCGAGGTGAGTGGATTGCCTGAGCCCATGAGTTCGAGACCCGCCTGGGCAACTTGATGAGACCTCATCTCTACAGCAAGTCAAAAATCAGCCAGGCGTGGTAGCGTGCGCCTGTAGTTCCAGCTACTCAGAAGGCCGAGGCGGAAGGATCGCCGGAGCCCAGCAGGTCGAGGCTGCGGTGGCCGGGAGCGGCCATTGCACTCCAGTCTGGGTGGCAGAGTGAGACTCCAACTCAAAAAAAAAAAAAGAAAGCGGGATTTATAGAGAGGACAGAGAAGAGAAGCTCTCACGGTGGGAGGGGACCCCAAGGGGTTGCCCCCAGACCTTTCTTATTTCAACTCCCAGCTGGATCACAAGCTCCATGCAGGCAGGGGCCTGTCTTGTTCACCGGCTGCCCTGGGCTCCTGGCACTTGAACAAACTAAGGAGTGAGGGGGGCTCAGGGGAAAGAACCTGGAGCTCTGAACATGACCTGGAGACTCCCAGGATCCTAGTTTTCACACCTGCAGGCGTGGGGAGTTGGACTAGGTGAGCTCTCATGTCTGTCAGCTTTGATGCTGGTCATCTTTGGGGACTTCACCCCCAGTCTATCCCTTTTGCTTCTGGATGTCAGGTTAGACAATGAGTTGTACTGAGGGGCTTGAGATGAGATGGTGGGTGAGTCTGTGGATGGAAGGAGTGCCTGGTGACTGCTACTTGGTACCAGGACAGAACACACGTAAAGCCATCTATGCCAGACTTCTTTCAATTCCACAATTCAGATCATAGTAGTCATCAGAAGAACACAGCTCTGCACTTAGCCGTATCAGGTTTCCCAGGTATTAAAACGCTATAGCCAGACCAAGCCAGTGTCATCTCTGAACATCTAGGAGATAGCCCTGCTTGGCCAGTGGGTGTTGCTTGAACAGTTAACTGATGGTCGTATTTCTCATTTGCAAGATGTTAACCCTGGAAAGTGATCTCTAGACACGTGCCCAGATCCCACCCTTGGAGCAGTCACACATTCTGGAGAGTTTCGTGGGGCTGATGATGATGGTTGCAGCTTCCCATAAATCCATAGTCGGGGACTAGTCAAGTGAGTGGGCTGCTTCACTACAGGATTGTTCCCATGGGAATCTTTATGCAAAGCTCTAGCATCAACCTTGGGTTGATGCTAGGGGAATACCTAGGGTGAGGCCCTGCCTGCCAGACCCACACCTGAAGTGTGACGGAGGGTCAAGACCTCCCTTTGTGGCTTTTTCTGTCACAGAATTCATATTTATAGCTTTCTGCAGATTCCAAATGTGTAGTTGATTTTATCTGAGTTATAAAAATAAGCTCTGTATTATCAAGGCTTTGGGCATGTTCAAACCCATTCATGTGGTTTAATTAACACAAAAGCACTCTGCTGTTCCAGGCTTGCAGGACACATTGCTTGCTGGGTGGATTGCCTCTGATGAAAACCTGGGGGAGGGAGAAGTTCCCTGTGGAGCCGTTGTCTTGCTAGCAATTTGATACCTTCAGAGGAGAGGTTCCAATCTGGACATAGGTTCCCAAATTGTAATTGCTTAAATTAAGTATGTCAGCGGTTCCACCCATTTGGGCTGTTGTGGGATGCATTCGCTGCTGAGTGACCACGTACTCCACTGATGCAGAGTAGAAAAAGTCAACTGGAGCGGCACACACCAGGGCTGGGCAGGCGGCTCTGCCCCGTGACAGTCAGCAGGGGGGAGAGATCATGGTCTCCATTACTAATCAGCTGTTCTAACACTGCAGCTCCCAGGAGTGGACTGGCCAGAGGACAAGATACTGGGGACTTGCTACAAGCTTCATTAGTTTCACAGGTGCACCAGATTTTACCCTGACATCAAATGTGGTACTGCTGAATGGGATGGCTCCATACCTTTCATCTATTTGATGCACCCTTACAACAAATCTAGATGAGATGTGTAGACAGGACCTTCAACATGAGGGTGAGAAGGGCGTGGGCCCACACTGGCATGCTCACTCATGGGACTGTGAGAATTAAAATGGAAGGTAACACTGCCACTGCTGTTCCAGGACCTGTGCTATTTATGAGCCTGTTCCAAACCTTACACATACACAGCAAATTCATGTAGCACTGTATACAAAGGGAAACAAGAAATCACTCTGACAGGGCCTGGTCCCTTGTGAAGTCCCTAGAAGTCAAGGAAGTTATTTCCATGCTTGGAATGAATATTTCCAAGAATAAAAGCATACGAACACTATGTTAATTCTCTGTGACATACTCTGAGAGCGGAGCATCCCCAAACTGGCCAAACATCAACAACTCTGAAAGAGTTTTAAAATTGAAAAAACCTGTCATGCTTTACCCCTCCTCATCTGCTGAGTTGGAATCTGCAGGGAGGGAAGCACTGAGTGATCTGTCTTTTTAAGAAACCACTCCAACTCTCTGCGCTTTGGATGATCAGGCAGATCTTGGGACCAGTTCTGCCCAGCAGGCCCCAGACTTCAGCGTGCAGGGGAGTCGCCAGGGGATTGTCAGACTGAGGGTTCTCATCCCAAGGTGTGGGGAGGGCCTTGTGAGTCTGCGTTTCCAGCAAGCTCCCAGGTGGCACTGCAGCTACTGACCTGCAGTGCTCCCTCTCTGGGTGTCCTCATGCCTGTCTCGTCTGTGGTTGCACTGGGCCCAGGTATAAGTGGTAGGGGCACCCTGTACCCCTGCCGCCCTGCCCTCCTCTACACTGCCCCCCAAATCTCAACTGGAACTCGGACTTGCCTTCACTCAGCTCAGGGTTGGACCCTTCCTGTGGGTCCCCTGCAGCCCTTCGCAGGCCTCGCGTCACAGAAAATAAACATGCATTCATCAGGAGGGGTTCATCTGGTGTGAAAGGCTTAGGGAGACAATTGTTTATTGTCAAGGACCGGGAAACAAAGTCTGGAAATCTACACAGTGGTCATGAGCTACAGGATAGGAGCAGGGTAGAGAGGAGACATAACAACACACATTACTTGAGAGTGAGCTCCAGCTCTTCATTCTGACCCTTGAACCCAGGAGAGATGGCTGCCCTTTTCACTAAGACTGCAACAGAATGGAAATGTGATTCAGTTTATCAGCTCCTACAAGGCAGGCAGAGCAAGAGGCTATTTTAAGCTGATGTTGGGAGCCCCCATCCCAAGGAGAGAGTGGATACTGAAGGTGGTCCCCGGCCGCCTCTGGTGGCTGGTCCCCGGCTCCCTAGGTCCTAGGCATCTCTTGATTCTCAATGATCAGCTTGTCAGTTGAATATAGTTGGCCAATGTGGACCTGGAGGCAAAGAAAAGACACAGGTCAAGAACAGTGGGACTCCATCTGCTGTGAATGGTCAGATGGAGCAATCTTAACATTTATAACACAAATGTTTGCCATCACCAGGCTGCTGTCTTCTAGAAACTGCACTGATGGGCAAAACTAGACACCAGAGTTACCTGTGCTAGTTCCTTGCATCGTCCAGCTCCCACGTCCCTCACTGTGACATTTTAGAGACCCATATACCCACTACTCTCTAAAATGGCATGGTGGCCACAGCCTGGGTTTCTGGGTTATCCAGAAGCCATTCGCCAGGGTCCTGGCTGCCCACTGGAGGCAGGCCATCAGATACATACATAGCTCCTGATGAGATGTCCTTCCTTTAGAACTGGTTCATCCATAAGGACAGGCTTTCAGCTAACGCAGAAATGAGTTTAGTCTAAGCCGGGGTAGAAAGGGCTATGCATTAAGAGCAATGCAAACAACCTTTCCCTGCTGGTCCTGGATGTGGCTGAGGATAGCAGTCTGTGTTCATGCACCTCCTGCCTCCTCTCTCTCCTGTCCCTTTCCATGCTAAGTGTCCTTTTTTCTTTTCTTTTCTTTTTTGTGGTTGGCATCTCTTTTGCCCAGGCTGGAGTGCAGTGGCATGATCATGGTTCACTGCAGCTTTGACCTCCTGGGCTCAAGCAATCCTTTCGCCTCAGTCTCCCAAGTATCTGGGACTATAGGCACATGCCACCATGCCTGGCTAATTTTTTGATTTTTTGTAGAGAGGAGGTATAGCTGTGTCATCCTGATCTCGAACTCCCAGCCTCAAGCGATCTTCCCAACTCAGCCTCCAAAAGTAGGGATTATAGGCATGAGCCACCATGCCTGGCTGGTAAGTGTCCTTTTTAATCAAGTGTCTTAATTGGCACCCACATGTGCCACTGTCCCAGGTGGATGCTGGAGCCATAACCTGGGCTATAGCAGATCTTTCCTCTGGAACAAAGGGTCTTTGCCACATTTTTTCTCTGAAAGCATTTTCTGAGTGGTATATATTTAGATCAAGTAGAACTGGTAAAGAGAGGGCTGAGCATTAGAAACTCTATCCGAGTTTCAGAGCAGTTGCCACTATTTATGGGTAATCTGTGGGGACTCATTGCTTTAAGTAAATGAGGGTAAAACTCTAGAAGGTTAGAGCTGCCACCTGGAGCCACCAGGGGTCACAGTCAATATCCTTATGTGGGTGCCCTCTGCCACCGCAATGCCTGTTTCAAGTGAAGGCCCAGGCCAAGGGGAGAGCATGTCCCTACTAAGGCATGTGCTAGAGAGTGGTGCTGTCACCAAGGACAGCCCATGGTCCGTCAGAGCTGCTCTGCTTTCCCACGCCACTTATCTGTCTTTCATCTGCCCTACACAGAGGCATCCTGGTGGTCTGTGGATAAGGATAGAACTAGTAAGTGCTGGTGTGGTGCCAGGAGAAAGCAAAGGAAGAGGTGAGAGCAGCCACATCATCTAGAAAGAAAGCATCTCATCACAGGAAATGGAGAAAAGAAAAAAAGAGAAAGTAAAAGAGAGTACAGATCTGGGGACATGGCAGAAGTCATACAGGCATTCATTTATAACTGCAAATGAATTCTTTAATGAAAAAAAAAGGGTGGTGGGGAATGAACGCCTTAGCACAATTCTTCACAGAAGTCAAAGCAACGTGCTTTGCCACTGTGTCTTTGGTCTTTCCTTCCTCTCAATACCATAAGGAAGACTTGATACATGTGGACAGGTGGATGGGGCTACTCCATGTCTCACAGGCTGCAGGTGATACTGATGCCGCTGGCCCATAGACCACACTTGAAGCAGAAGGGTGAGAAACCACGCAAGGACTGCAGGAATCTGGCCCAGTTTCTCAGGGACCAAGTTGTGGTCATGATGCAGGCAGCACAGGGCTGGCCGGGCCTCCTTTCATGACAGCTTGAAACAGCTGGCAGGTGAGCTGTAGTCATACACACCCCATGGAGAAGAGAGAGGGAGACCAGTCATTTTCTCCACACTGAGTATCATACAGCTTTATTTTCATATATTAACCTTAGCAGATATATGAATCCACTGTCAAATGATATTCAGAAAAGAAAGGCTATTTAAATACCAAATATTATTTTTTAAGTCATAATTTTGGGGAATGATGTCTTCATAATTTAGGCTATTACAAATGATTTTATGTAACAACTCAGATGATTCAGTTACCTGGAGCTTGTTTCATATTTAATTGACCTTGGAGGGTCCCCTAGGAGTCCTTCTGAGAAGTGTCTTCAGTTGTGTATTCCAGATGTGCTGGATGGAGGTCGCCAGCATTCTTTAAAAGTTCTGGTGGCAGGTGGAGTTATGAGGCAGCACAAGGAGCTACCCTTTAATAGAGCCGTTCAAACAGACACTGGGGACTTCTCAAGGGGGTTGGGGTGGGTGGAAGGGCTTAAAACCCGCCTACTGGATACCAGGCTCACTCTCTGGGTGGACGGCTCAACAGAAGCACGACCCTCACCATCACGCAACAGTAAACCTGAACATGTACCCCTTGAATCTAAAGTATTAAACAGAGTTGTTCAATAGTATGATGAGCTGCCTTGGGAAGCTGTGAAATTCTGTCCTTGTGAGGAGTGGAAATAAGGATGAAGAAGGAATATGCATGTGAGACAGAAGTTGAGCCAGATGGGCTCCTTCCGACTCTCAGTTTCTGTTATTGCAGGCACTGTCCATGCCTCTGGGATTCATCTGAGATGCCTCTAACAACAGCCACATGGCCTTGGCACGGCCCAATGCTGATCCATGTGTTCTGCTTCAGACACCCTAGGAAAGATGGCATCCCCAGAAAGACCATGGGCACGGGAGTCAGGACACCTGGGCTGTCCCCTGGTGCTGGTTCCTGCCTTATGAGACACCCCACTTCCTCCCCTTGGTCTTGGCATCCTCACCTATAAAATGAGAGGCCTGGACACTCCTAGGCGATCTTTATGATCCCTTGCTGCTCCAACAGTGTTTGGGTCCTCAACAAAGTTGGCAGATGTCAAGAGAAAGATGTGGGGGATCCCCAAGCCAGTGTGGTACCTGCATGGCATGAGAATTTCTGGAACAGTGGGTGGTAATATGGCCAAGGGATGATCATTGCAGACGTGGAGGGGACAATAAATGTGCTGCAGCAGCTGGAGTGTGACTGGCTTCCTACCCCTCCTAAGGCCGCACTCTTCCTTCCATCCATCTACTACCCACAGGCCAGCAGCAGCCCAGGAGGCACGTCAGTGAAGCTGCTCTCCTCTCTCAGTCCATATGACTATCCATGTGGTCCATACATACGACCTGCGTGATGTGTACTTCTCTTCCCTCCATCCCTCCCACTGCTCTGGAAGCCCCTCAGAGCAGGGCTAGTGAATTATGCTATCTGTGTCGCTGAGTCCCGCATAGTCCTGGTAGATGCCAGTGCTCAGCAGCCTTTGGTGAGTGAGCGAGAGAAGGAGTCTGAGCCCAGTGCACTGAGAGCGAACGGCTTCATGGCAAAAATGGGCAGATGGGCTGAGCTCTTCTTACCTGGGAAAGGCACAAGCAGCACACAGTGAACAGGTGTTTGTTGAATGGAAGACCCAGAAGACCCTGGAGGAGCCCTGGCAGGGCAGTCACAGCCCTAAGCCCTCCAGCAGGCAAGCAGTGAGCACCTCCTGGACCAGGCGCTGTGCATAGGTGGGACTTTCAGATGGGATTCCTGTCCCCGAGAGGCTCAGAGCCCAGAAGAGGAGGCAGAGAAGAAATGAGACCGGTGCCCCAGGATCTAGATGTGCTAGCAGAGGGTGGTACACAGCATCCAAATCTAGAAGGCATGACTCAGCCCAAGGGGCTAGGGAAGATTTCTTGGAGGAGATGGCCTCAGCGTAGGAGCTCAGCGGTCCAGAGGCTGGTGCTGGAGAGGGGTGAGAAGTGCCTTCCAGAGGGGCAGCCACCTACACAGGTGATGGGCATGGGAGCACATGGTATGTGTGGACTTAGAGACTGTCCTAGACAGAAATGTGCTTGAGCCTAGGAGTTCGAGATCAGCGTGGGCAAAACAGTGAGACCTCATCTCTACCAAAAAAAAAAGAAAAGAAAAAAAAGCCAGATCTGCAGGTCTAGCAGCATGCACTTGTAGTCCCAGCTATTTGGGAGGCTGAGGTGGAAGAATTGCCTGAGCTCAGGAGGTTGAGGCCATGGTGAGCTGTGATAAATAAATAAAAATAAAGCTGTCATACAAGCTATTTAAATATCCCCATATGATGAACAGTTAGATTGTTTCCTAATGTTAGATCATCTTTCTTATACATAATAAACCTTTTATTGCAACTCTGATTTTTCCCCTTATAAAAGGTTTTCAGAAATGGAATTGAGCAAATAAGTACAAATATTTTTATGGTTCCTGATGAATCCTGCAAAACTACTTTCCAGAAGCTGTCCAAATGGCATCCCACTGTTGGTCCAGGAGAAGGCGTCAGCAGCACAGTCATGCCACAGAACAGATTCACTCTTCCCACATGACTTCCTGTGTGAATGCTGCATTAGACTCAAGGCCACATTCTCTACACCCTGGCTAGAACAAGAACACAGGATTCTCCTGGCATGCTGCCTTCTGGTGTGTCCTTAACAACAGCCCCAGTTATGGTAGTTGACATCATATTCGTTTCTCAAAGTCCACCAAGCTAGAGCACGGAGCCCTGGGGAGAGGTGCTTTCTCACAAGACATGAGCTGCGATGTCATGGTGACCAAGTCCCAACGAACCCCAGGTAAAAGATGCCAAAGAAAACCTGCAGAATGAGGCATGAAGGGCAAAGCTGTAGAGTCAAACTTCAGGAAACTTAAAATCAGAACAAACTAAATCTATAGTTCACTCTGACAGAAGTATGAATTACACTTTAAAAGATCCATTTTGATACAACAAATTTATGACCTTTGGGGGATTAAGGAATAAAATCAGATCTCAGCATGCTAATGGAATTAAGAGGACACAGAGATGAAAGCCTTC